TCTTGTCCTTGTTCAACCCACGCTATTTTTTTTTCTTCAGGTGGTATCTATGAAAATCGCGTTTCACAAAATGAAAATACGGAGAGTTTCGATTATAAGATAAAAAAACACAAAAGTAACAGTTTCGATTATAACATAACACACATGTAATATTTGAAAAGCATGCACTTCTAGGTACTAAAGTGTAATAAAAGAGGAAAAGGTGTAAACGTACACTAAAGGCATTGAAGGAAAGATAAATTGTAAACAGGCTGTTATAGAAGTTGAATAGCTTTGTGTCAATATAAAAGGTATAGTGTGATTCACGCATAAAGCAAAAGCACGACGAGGTCGCAAGTTCTATCATCCTTCGCAAATTTCGCATGCATTTATTCTACGGCCACCGCAAGTTATGACAACGCCATTGTCCGTGTACCACACCGTACTCTTCTAGGAACACCGTGGCGCAACACGTAACGCTAGATAACGTGCCACTAATCCATCATTGCGAAGGGTATCACCAAATTCAGAAGCCAGACTATACGATGCCAACCAGCCACGTCACTCTCTACATCACACCACTCCGTGCTGCTTCTCCTTTCCCGCTTCATTGGTATCATCTTGTCATCCACTCCGCCGAGACCATATGTCTTCCAACCATCGAAGCGCAATTATTGGAACTTTGTGAAGATATCGCCTTGAGATCCTTTAGGGAATAGACAAGGTGCAATATTGCGCGCTGCGGCAAAGAGAGACCACTCATTCTGCGCTTTCATATTACAGTGTATTCGATTGGTCGACATGTGTTACAATATCCGACGGCCACGCATAATGAGCAGTTTCGGAACCATGTCCGGAAACGACAGCTAGTTCTCTCTGAGATAACAAATACTACTCTCGAATAGTATGCATTTGTGAGCTGCAGGCGCCATAATCAATAACGCAGAGAATACAACACGCTTTCTATGCTCTTTTGCATTATAGCAATCACGTATCGTTTTGTGTAAACTGACCGTCCTTTTAGAACAGAGATTGAGTCTCCCCACAATGCCCCGCCGCGGTGGTCTAGTGGCTAAGGTACTCGGCTGCTGACCCGCAGGTCGCGGGTTCGATTCCCGGCTGCGGCGGCTGCATTTCCGATGGAGGCGGAAATGTTGTAGGCCCGTGTGCTCAGATTTGGGCGCACGTTAAAGAACCCCAGGTGGTCGAAATTTCCGGAGCCCTCCACTACGGCGTCTCTCATAATTATATGGTGGTTTTGGGACGTTAAACCCCACAAATCAATCAATGAGTCTCCCCACAATAACAGTGTTCGTGAACGATGTCTATTCAGAGACGGCTGCTGTAGCAGCACGAAAAGTGCGTATCGAATAAATAAAATGGAGCACACGTGCAGGTTACGTTGACAACCTCGCCCGCGACTTTCATTAAGTAACCTCCAGACGCCGCATAAAATTGCTCGCATCGAAACGAGGAAATGTGAAAAAAAAAAAAAGAAGTTCGCACGTGCGAGGACCCGAAGGACGCAAAGATAGAAACATGCGTGAACGAGAAAAATAAACGCGCGGACCATCCTCGTAGCGAGGAAAGTTCGGGCGTTGTCGCTTATTTGCGCTTTGTTCTCTCTGCTGGGGACACGTGCCCTTCTGTGCGCACGTGCATTTGCGTGCCCTTTCGTGCAACCACGCGTGTGAGTGTGTGTGTCCTCGCGAAGTAGAACAGTGAGCGAGCGTGCGCAGCAGCCCTTACGTACGGAAACGCTCCCTTCGCGCCGTCACTGGCAGCTGCGTATGCGACGTAGAATGCGCGTCCGTTTTCACCACCCGTCCGTTAAGTCACGACCCCTACGTTTCTGCTCGCGTCTCTGCTCCGTTCTCTGGAGACTTGGACGAGCCTGAGGCTATTCCAGCGCATATAAAAAGTACCCTAGGGGGCCGCGCCAGTTATGTCAAGTAATTCCGCGGGGAAACCGCGGGAACCGATGGAAGTAAAACTCATTGAAGACCGTATGAAAGGTTTCTACACATGTAAAAAAAAACAAAGAAAATGCTGAAGAAAAGCGTACTAACGTGTCTTTCGAAACTGTTTTCAAGGTCGCATAACAAATGCGTACCAACTCAGGAAAGATAAAGGGAAGTCATTTCCACGGATCTCCGCTTTCCACTTCACGCACGCTACATCGAAAGTGCTTTCAGCTGCACTCCCGTTTGCGCCACGTTTTGTGTAGCGCTTCACCTCGAATCATTGCTTCCTCCAATCACGACTCTCCCGCACCGTTACTTATCATTTTGTTTTGTACAGAGCTATTGATTGATGGATATGTCGGGTTCCAAAACCACCATATGGTTATGAGAGACGCCGTAGTGGAGGGCTGCGGATATTTTGACCACCCGGGGTTCTTTAACGTGCACCTAAACCTGAGCACACGGGCCTACAACATTGTACAGAGTTAATGTGTACACTGTGGCTTTCTCTTCATTTCGTTCTCCTATTCCTAGTGCCTTCCACTCCAGGGGGATAACGAACCATACTTCATCTATGTTAATATATATATATATATATATATATATATATATATATATATATATATATATATAAGGGAAAGAAGTGTATACCTAAGGGCTCGTTTTTCCGTGTTTTAACACAATATTAATGAGATATAACAGACAGTAATGCCAAGGAATGTACAGGGGAAGTTATTAAAACCAATGGAATGTAAATAAGAAGAAAGAAAAGTGGATGAAAAAATTACCAACTGTGAGCAGGAATCGAACCTACGACCTTCGAATTATGCGTTCGATATATATATATATATATATATATATATATATATATATATATATATATATATATATATATATATATATATATATATATATATATATATATATATATATATATATATATATATATATATATTACATATATATATATATATATATATATTACATATATATATATATTAAACCCCCCCTCCGGTAACACCAGTATTTCACTGCCTTTCTTCTTTGATATCTTCTTTTTTTTCGTTTTCTACGGTGTGCTAACGACAATAAAATACATGAAAGCTGCTATTTTGAATAGACAGACATTGTTCCTGCGTCCAAAAAAAAACTGATTCAACATTATCTCCCCCAGAGTACTGAAAAGACGCGTTATATTTCGTCGTTTGAACTTCATTGAGCGAATAATCAAGTTAAGTTTCTGGGAGACTGTTTTCTGTCAATTCTGTGATTATAAAAAAATTAAGCTCTGCACGAAGAGTACGTGGCTCCCTCTTACGCAAGCAGTTTACGTCTGCAGTTCTAAGACAAGTGTTTTTTTTTTTTTGACAGGACCTAAACTGACACTTGCTTTCACAAAATTCAGTGTTCTCGCGAAACTATGAAATAGATAGGCGCAAATATATTCTCTAAAGCTCACACGAGAACTTAGGTTGTTTTAGTTTATTATAGTTGTCTTATCGCACGGGGCTGGAAATTCAATTAGAGCTACGAGCGCCGCCGGCAGCACGTCTTTGCTTTTGTCGTCTGACATGCGGAGGCGACGTTCGCGTAGCATGCCGAGAACAAAATTACTATAAGACGTCATTCTAACGGGCCATTCTTCGCGCGTATACAGAGCTAGATCATTGCTAGCAAATTGAGTTACCCGTTTCTTACTCTCGGTTAAAAAAAGAGCCATGTAGAAGAACACAAAAGTGAAGTATTGTTAGTAATGTCTCTTTCTGTGCCTGCGCTTCCTACTGTGATTCATTTGGTTGCCACTTTTTTTTCTTTTTCATGTCAAATTCCTCCATCACGAAGAACCATCTATTGCTCATAAAAAGAATTTTCTAGCTCGAGAAAAAGAAATCACGTTCTTGGCAGAGCATAACGTCGGCCCCCACAGCTGTCCTGCTGTAATGCGGTGAAAAACAATGAGGAGTTAACAGCTGATCTTATCGAATGTGAACGCACATTGCCTGATTGGAAAGTTTTACCTATAGTGACTACGAGATATAAATAACGTTGCACAATGAGAGTAAGAAGAGAAAAAGACCTTGAATGAGAAATACGAGCAGGGTTTCTTGAATGCAGGTACGCTTCATTGTACCTATGCGCACTTAAGGCCTCATAAAACTGTTGGTGTGAATGTTTTGCGAGTGTAGCCAGTGTTTTGATCTAATCCTGTGGTTCCATGTTGCTCTCCTTCCAAATTGGAGTAGCGCCTGCGACTAAAAAGTGTCCATATATCTCCGAAAAAGAAGAACGTAATCCAGAGGAGACGGGAGGGGCAATTTTTTTTCGTTTAGATTTTTACTAGCCTTCGCCCCTACATGCACCGTCTTCTCCTATGTCACAATACTAACTTATTTCTCCCCTTCTCGCGTAAAAAGTTAGCCTAGCTTGCAGTGGAGGTGCAATGGTGAAAACACAGCAGAGCTGATGGGCGGATGTGAACTAGCGGTGAGCCTCAAGTATGTGCGAAGCTGGGTGGCCTTCTTTGTTTTTCTTCATTTCTCTCTTGATTTCTCCCTTTTATCTCTGTTTTTTCTGTTTTGTCTCTGTTTGTTTATATTTCGTTTTTCTCTCTTTCTTTCCCTCGCCTCTCTCTCTCACTTTTTATTTCTCCCTAGCTAGACACAATGACAAAGTAGACACAATGAAGCAATTGGTCACCACTACCACTCCCTCCCTTATCTATCCCACATACACGCCGTACCAAACACTCAGCGACAGTCACATAAGCCACAAATTCGCTGACCGCCCACACAAAGTGGACTGACCAACTCACAAAACAAACGCTTGTAGCATTGCCTTGGTAGGCCCGACCTTTTGAACTCGATGGGAGAAGCCAACTGGCAACCCTAGACCAGGCCCGGCGAGCCGAGGCCGCCAGAGGAGACCTACCGGTGGGCACCAGCCACCACAGAGCCACAAATACTTCTACCGAGAAAGCTGTTGTGATAACGTATAATCAGGCCCTATTTTGGTGCCGTAGTTGTGCACCACCGCTGTCTGTAACCGTTATTGGGCATAATGGGGAAAGCAATACGGAGAATCGAGCGGGACTTCAACATGAGCCCTCTACACGACAGTCCGGCACCGAAGAACCAAGTCAGGGATTGAAACTCCGTCGCGAAAACAGCTTAAAGAGGCGTCATGCTGAGCAAGAAATCACGTTAGCAGATAAGGCGTGGCACATGAATAAAACACCACCAAAGGTCACACAATGCAAACCACGTAACCAGTGGTTGGTCTAAAGCTCCCCACCTGTTACAGAAAGATCATCCATAATCTTTCATCGTTTTCAGCCACACAATCAACAAATTGGAGACAATGCCTCACAGACTCGTAGCGGCTACCTCACCTAACTGCAGAATTATAAATGATGCGACAATGGGTACTACCTCTACTTCGCAAAATTATTATT